TGTGTGTGTGTGTGTGTGTGTGTGTGTGTGTGTGTGTGTGTGTGTGTCTCTGTGTGCTCACAGCAGTTCGCAGGTCGCTCCGTACCAAAGTGCTGTGAGAGAACTTCTTTTCCCACATTTTTTTCTGCCTGGTCTGAGTGCTGTTTTGAAATCCTGAGTTCTGCCTTCACTTCTGCTCATCTGTTCCATAGCGTGAATGATACACAAAGGAGAAGTGCAATACATGCATTTGCCTCTAGGTACCATTTTATATCACTAACCTTTTTTTATGATGGCTGCAAATTAAGCAACAGTTTTTTTGCTGTTTTTACACGTTCTCCTTTCTAAATCCACACTAGCTTTTTCTTGTCCATAGAAGCTTAATGAATCCTACTCTTATTTTCATCAGAGGTTACTTATGCTTTATAAGCTATTTATCTCAAGATAAAGAGACATTACGGTGAACCATGTTGTACCAAAACAAGCTGTCAGCCCGAGCTGTCGATAACAGCAGCAGGTTTGAGCAGCCATAGAGATACCTGCTGCTTATTTAACTCCTGGTAGGAGCATTATGGAGCCATCCAGGCTGCAAAAGTCCAACCGTCATCTTGACCTAATGAATCGCTGAGCCACATCCCATCGTGCCACAACTCCTGATACACTCCATGCAACGGCACAACTTTTTGGTGCTATTGCCCCGTTTGTTCATACCCAAACTGTACAGCTTCTGGGGCAGGTGCACAATACAACATGAAGATATATAGATTGCACGTGAAGCATTAAAGTCATGAAAACAGTAAATTCCTTTTGTGCACAGCAGTGCCCAACCCCAGAGCACTTTCTGCGGTGCAGCTCTCAGACAGTGGCAGATCAGAGGACATGCCTGTCCCTTGGCTCTGTCCCCCTCCTCCAGACCGCAGCACTGCCAGCAGCTGGATGGGTGCCCACATTTCCAGCAGCTTTGCTGACTCCTTGAAGGCTGCCTCTTGCTGCAAAGGCTGCACTGCATTTAAAAAAATGAGGATTCAGGAGTATTAAAAATAATTTAGCTTCCTCATCATCTTCATTCTCCTGCACACTTCCCTCTTTTTCAGTTCAAGATGCAGCCCTTCAGTAACATGCAGCACAGCTGCAAGGACCCATCTGGACTCACATCACCTCCCAGCCCTGCAGACCTCAGTACCTTCAGAGCCCTGCTCACCTCTACGGGGCTGGTGTGGGCTCAGCAGGGATCCAGCAGCACAGAGCAGCGCAGCACAGGGCAGCCAGCATTTTAGCTCAGATTCAGGTACTCTCAGTTTCAAAGAGAGGTAACACACAGCTGCAGGTGGCATTGCTTCAGGTGAGGCAGAGGAGGCATTCAGCTAATTGATGGATTAGCACAAAAGCTGTAACAGGCACTACAGTAACAGCTCCCAGCATCAGATACGCAATCTGATCTTCACAGGTGGGGCAAAAGATTGATTGCTTCATATCCCTTCTCTTCAAGCAAGCCAACATAATTTTTTAAATAGCACTTGGCAAACTCCACTTCTGCAGACCAGCTCTACTCCATACATTTTTACCTGCGAATGAACACTCCCTTCAGAGTTCAAGGAAATGCCACTTGAGCCTTTTGCCAGCGGTGAAAATATCTTAGCTGCAAAACTTTATTAAGGCTTTGGCTAAGTGGCTGATTAGATTCATCTGCTCAGGGTGGTTGTTTCCACGTCCTTATTTCCAGAAAGTCAGTTATGTTCTCTCCCATGCATAGTGGGGGCATGTACTACGTCTGCTGTCACTTATGTAATGATTGAATGGATATTTACCAAAAAATGCAGTCACTGAGCATTTGATTCTAGCCATTTTGTACTTGGTACAGCCATCTGGAATCATATTATTTTGAGAATATTACAGATGCTCTTGCCTTTTAGGCTCAAAAAACTCCTAAAATTCTTACAAAAATCTTATTTCCCCTCCCTAGAGCTGCCGAACTCTTTTCACACTTCTGTCATGAGGCAGTCCTGTTATCCAGCATCCCTGTTATTAGGGTTCGTGCATACGAGGCATCGCTGTGAGGGGCAGATGGTGAGGTGGCGAGTAGTGCTCAGCACTGCTCTGCAGAGCTGGATGCAGGCAGTCCCCAGACCAGCACTGGTCAGGCTGTGGTGACCCCACCATGAAAATACGAGGTCTGTGGAGCTATGCAGAATGGTGCTGAGGGGTCAAATCCCTTTGCATGGCCTTTTGGAAGAGCTTTCATCATGCACGATTCATTGGGTGACTTAAAGAGAGGAAAAAAGACTTGAGGCAGAACTGGTCCGTACTTCAATGAAAACTAAGACATCTGAATTTCTATAACAGGGACTAACCATTACCTTGCAAAGCACTGTGCTGGGAGGTTGGGTTTTCTTTTTTAGGTTTGGTGTAACGTTGTTGAATGCTAATAGCTTCTATAACGCTGTTTCTGATTTGTTTTGCTGTGTGAAAGAAAGCAGAAAATAGAAGCGCTGGCTGTAGGAGGCGAAGATGTTTAAAGAGAAATGTATTGCAGGAAGACTTCCACTGTAAACCTGCCGTGCTCAGAAGAGCCAGAATTTCACGTGGCTCACCTAGTCTCGTCCAAAGAGCAGTGTCCAAATTCTCCTCGAGCTCCAGCAGCTCAGGGCCGTGCTCACTGCCCTGGGGAGCTGTTCTGTGCCCACCAGCCTCTGGTGCAGACCTTCCCTCCCCTCCACCCACCCCCCTCTGCAGCACAGCTCCACGCTGTTCCCTCAGGCCCTGTCACCGCCCCAGACAGCAGAGCTCCCTGGCAGGAGCTGCAGCCTCCATAGGCCTCCCCTCAGCTCCTCTGCTCCGGGCTGAGCAAACCCAGGAACTCGGCCACTGCTCACACAGCACGCCCTCAGACCTTAAATGTTCTCCTAGCTCTTTGGCCACTCTCAAACAGTTTTATGTCCTTGTCAGCACAGGGACAGATGACTGGACTGGCAGCCAGTAGAGACAACACAGCAGTGGGATTGTCATAATGCAAGTAAATTAATATCCCAGAACTCCCCTCCAATTATTTGCAAGTTCTGATGAAAACAGATACTGAGCACCCGCATCCACTTAATTAACAGCAAACGCTTATTACAGAAACAGACACTAATATTCATCTTCCATTTTCCTTTGTCAAATGCACATAATTATTCATCACAGGTACTATTTATATTCCAACACACTGCAAAGTGAAAGAATGCTCTCATCCTGGTTTTATCATTTCTAGATTAAATCACCGTTTTTCTATTTCTTCCAGTCAGCAGACCAGGCCCACAATTTGCTCTCCCAATGACAGGCAATTCTTTCAAGCGCATTGAATCATGTTTTCCAGGTGGTGGCTCAGCTGAAATTAAAGGGCATTCTTTTGTACAGCTCACTAGTACAGCTATAGTGCACAAGGAATGATGACAACTTCAATGTGACATTCTAGTGAACTTGGAAAACAATTCAAACAGAAGGATAAGGGGCTAAGACAAGGGGGAATGGTTTCAAACTAAGAGAGTGGAGATTTACATTGGATATAAGGAAGAAGTCTTCTACAATAAGAGTGGTGAGGAGGTGGCACAGGTTGCCCAGAGAGGTGGTGGGTGCCCGGCCCTGGAGACAGCCCACATCAGGCTGGAAGGACTTTATCAGCTGTAGGTGTCCCTGTTCACTGCAGGGGAGTTGAGCTAGATGGTCTCTGCGGGTCCCTTCCAACTCTCATAATTCTGTGACTCAAATTCCTGTATCTACTGCTGCCTCGTGGAATAAAGAAGAAAGCACCAAGAGGCTGTGGTGAAGCACAACAGTTGTGAGTGAGGGCCATGTGGAACACGGTACAGAGATATAGAAATCTGCACCCCCAGCCACTGACAGATCCCTGCTGCACAACTGAATTACAGCAGGCTGTTGCAGGCACTATTTATATGCTAATGGCTGGAAAAGGCCTAATGGGCTCAGCCAAAACCCACTCAGGCTCCAAAATCAAATCAGCACTGGAACTTTTTTTAAATCTCTTAGCATTTAGGTTCCCCAGCAGCTGGCAAAGGGCTCAAGTGCTCTGTTCCTCACCTCACACCAAGGTCCCCAAGCTACACACATGCTCATCAGTGACGAAGTACCCTTGGAGCCAATGGGGATCCTGCTACATAGCTCTAAACTGGAGCCCATTTCAGATGAAATCTTTCCATTTCCTTTATTTTGTCCACACAAAGTACATGAAAAACAAACAACTTTAAGGTGAAAAGCAGAGGAAGGTCAAATTAATCACTACCAGTAGTTATCATAGGATGGCTTGGATTAGAAGGGATGTCAAATATCATCTAGTTCCAACCCCTGTATGGGGAGGGTTGCTAACACCAGATCAGCGCTAGATCAGGTTGCCCACAGCCCCACCCAGCCCAGCCTTGAACAGCTGTAGGGATGGGGCATCCACAGCCTCACCATGAAAAACTTCTCCAACAGCTATTCTAGATCTCCTCTCCTGCAGTTTAAAGCCACTACCTACCCATGTTAAAGGTTGGTTTCCCTCCTGTTCATGAGCTCCCTTTAAACACTGGAGGGCCACTCTCAGGTCTCCTCAGAACCTTCTCTTCTCTGGACTGAGCCCAGCTCCCTCAGCCTGTCTTTGTAGGAGAGGTGCTCCAGCCCTCTGGGTCGTGCTCCTGGTCCTCCCCTCCCCTTTATTGGATCAAGTCCAACAGCAGGAGCCACGTGCTGCACATGAACTGCATGCTCTGACACTGTCCTGAGTGAAACCTGCAGACAGGTAAAAGAAAAATGCAAGATATTTGTATTTACTGATGAATGTACAGAAAGTGGCTGAGGTATTTCCAGCTAGCAGAATCACATGTATTGAGGCAAACGAAACCGTATCCTAGAGTTTTGCAAGTCGATAGCAAATGAGAAAGGCATAGTTACTGGAGAGAAGCAAAACAAGAGCACATCTATGGCTGCTGTAGTAGCCTTCACTGAGGGTGCTCAGACTGACCGCGGAGCAACAGTGCCTCCCAATGGCAAGAGGTATAATTCCTTCAAGTTTGAGTAAATATTTGCAAATATTTTGCTTTTCTTATTTACATATATAGGCACAACATCAAGAGATCTCTCTACCAAGAAAGCTTTAACACAGAACTACTGACCAGAAAAAGCTCTGCTGCTAGTGAACCAGTGGCTAGCAATGACCTGGCCTGGGGATCCCCCACCAGGACATCCAGTCCTCCATTTGTAAGAAAAATTCTCAGTGGCGCAAGACCGGTTAACCAGCAAAGACCGGTTGACAGCAAAAACACGGTTAACAGTTAAACACACGGGCACTGCTTTTCTTACCTGATGGTAAAAACGATTCACCAAGTAAAATTAACATTTTCCCCTCTTTTCTGCTATCCTGAAACAGGTCCCGATTGTTTCAGTTCCAAGAATCTTGCACTGCAAGCCCAGAAAAAGATCCTGAGTAAAATGGCAACCAAAACCATGGCTAACATGCTCATCGATGACACAAGCAGTGAAATCTTTGATGAGCTGTACAAGGTAACAAAGGAACACACCAGAAACAAAAAGGAAGCCCATAAAATTATGAAAGACCTGATTAAAGTGGCAATAAAAATTGGGATCCTCTATCGAAATAATCAGTTCAACCACGAAGAGATGGAAATTGTAGACAAGTTCAGGAAGAAGCTGAATCAAACTGCCATGACAATTGTCAGTTTCTATGAGGTAGAATACACTTTTGACAGAAATGTTCTTGCAGAACTCCTGAATGAGTGTAAAGACCTTGTGCATGAACTGGTAGATCGGCACCTGACACCGAAATCCCACGGGCGCATCAACCACGTCTTCAATCACTTTGCAGATGTGGAATTTCTAACTGCCCTGTACAGCCTGGATGGGGATTGTCGGCCATACCTCAAAAAGATCTGCGATGGCATCAACAAACTACTTGATGAGAAGATCCTTTGAAACTGTGCTCAGAAGCAAGAAACCAGCCAAAAAACTTCTGCCTAGAACTGGCCACCCTTCATGAGCCACGGTGAGCATGAGAGCATCCTTCCTGCTCTTCTTACTGCAGTCTCCAGCAGGAGCCAGAGGTGCTCACTTGGCACACGATGAAGGGAAAAACCTAAACCAGAAAGCTATCAGTTTTAATGTTTTGTTCACAGATAACTGAGTCTTTTCCAAGGTGTGGCATGAAAAAAAACTGCTGATATATATTGTTCAGAAATAGATTGCTGTACATCATGATCTTACTAGCTTTGTGCTCAAGGCTGAACACGTGAAAAGAAAGTAAGCTCAAAAGCATGGCTGTGTTAAAATAGGTGATGGCAAAAGAGCAATGCATGGAATTTACCCAGACTGCCCTTGGTGTGTGCGTTTTTACTATTCCAACAGCAAGTGAAAAGGCTTAGAAGGTAAGGCTGTAATGCATTAAGCTCCTTTTAAAATGATCAGGAATCAGTGTGAGACTGCATCTCTGAATTCACATGGTATTTAAGTCTATTTAGGGATAATAAATAATACAAACAAGTAAATCACAAAATTTTAAGAGCTGCTCTATGAAACAATATTTCCATTAGAAATTTTTGGCTTATACTCAAAAAAAGCTTCATATGAATTTTCAAGAACAGCTCAGTGATTGAAGCTCAAAGGCAATCAAGAAAAAAAACATATAAAGTAGTTCCTGAATTCTCCCAGTCTCAGGTGTTGCGTATTTGATAACGTTGGATGAATTCAGGCTGGAGATGCTGCTGCTCTTTGCATTCACACTGAATGAGCAAAATTTGTCAGAGCAAAATATTCCTTGCGAACATTTTGCACTTTTGAAGAGGAACACAATTAAGTAACCACTTGCTGTACAAAGCAACATTAACATCTCATATCCTCAACAGACAACATTCAGCCTCAGTAAAGCTCTCATTTTAATGTGTCCATAGTATCAAATTGTGCCAACAATGACAAAAAAAGAACCCCACCTGCTTTGCTCACAGTGCCATCTGAGTGCAGTATGTCCACAGCCCTTTGAAGAGAACACTACTAACTGGTGAGCTTTGTAAACAACCCATTGGTTCAGTGTTCTGTTTTTTTTTTTTGCTTTTAAGCAAAACGCACCGCTGTCCTGAAACAAAAGATGTTTTGCAAAGGAACACTGGTTTCTGTCAAGTTTTGCTATCATTAAGGAAGAGAACCAGAGCAGATAAGCCAGCTTGCTGCTTGCAGAATCTTACAGCTGGGTTGATGCTGGCTGACCCTACGTAAAGGAAGCATGTGCAGAAATCTCTCCTAGCCCCCTGCCTCTTACCTCTCAGACTCACCTCAGTCTGCCAAGACATTCAGTGTCATGGGGTTTCTCCATTCTCATGACACAGTAGACACTCCCATATATTTGAAAGCCATCCCTCCCTAAGGAGAACTTCCAAGCACTGTCACCTATTACTTCACGACAACAAAAAAAAAAATTGTTTTCCCATTTAAAATCTTAAATACAGAGGTAAATTCTGTTCTTCTGCCTTTTCTCACTCTGAGAATAATTGCTGTACTTCCCTACATACAGCTGAGAATACACATACCTCAACTACGTGTATTCTCTGCAGTTGTGCTAGAAGCATCCATTCCCAAAAGAATGCATTTCAAAGCAAGTGAAAATGGCAGCACAGAACATTACTAGAGCAGTTTGGTATCGATGTAATTCTCCATCATGTTTCCTTCAACCATGAAGAGTATATTCAGTAGCAGTGAATACAGACTATTCCTTTACAACTCAGCATGGGAATGAGATATGAACTTTTGGGACTGGAAGTCTGTTAAGATTTGCCTTAGAAGGTTGCAAGTTTCAACATTTGCAGTCATATTTACACACACCATTAGCTGCTTTCTTTCTCAGAGCACGTACCTGTCAACCAATGCTTCTGAACCACAGTTATTATATCCAGCACTCCTGTTCCAGTGCACAGGTCACATCTGTGTGTTTGTTTCTCCTGTAGCAAATATGTAAGTTTGGTTGGTTGTTTGGATTTTTTTTTTTTTTTTAAGCCAGAGCAAAAGATTATTCAACACTGAAGATGTCCAAAACAAAAGGGATATCCTGTATACGTGACTTTATTTTTGTGTTGCAAGTGCCGATGTTCCAGATTCTGATATTTTAGACGAGCCAGCTGAACACCTGTCATCTTATTTATAAATCAGAGTAGCCTTAAGGAAAGAAGACGTTTTTTAGTATTTATCATACTTGCATATCCAGTATATTCATTGTTTACTTTTGTACTAGTAGCTTGCTATGTAACAACATTGCTAAATACTGGCAATGGTCATCTTCAGTATATGATGTATTATCATATTCGTGGATTAAAAAATGCGTGATTACTGCCCTTTTTTCTTTCACTTGATTTCTTTGTTCTACCACCCAAAGTAAACTGAAATTGAAATTAGTTCCTTCCTAAGAGGAAGGAATTGGTTTAATCTTGTCATCTTCAATGTTTGCAACTCTTTGAAGACCACGTTTTGTGAATGTAGGAGGAAGGAACATGGACAAATCAGGTGTTTAAAAGAAAACCAAAAAGCAGGACAAAGGAAATCCCCATTTTTCAGACTCCTCCATCGTTAGCACTTGAGCTAACAATGACACTGCTCCATCCATCCTGCAGTATGGCTCAGGGGCTTTCAGCCTAAGAACCTCCCTGCAAACCACATGGAGGACCTGCCTTCAGGGCCCAGCCTCTCCTCAGTCAGAGCCTGAAGGTGCCAAGAAGGTACCCCTGTGCAAGGCCCACAGCAGCTGTAACACGCCTAAGGCCTAGCTCTTTAGCAAGCGTGCCTTGCAACTGTTTCATTATTTGATTTAGTTCCTATTTAGCTACCTGTGATTTAAGTTAGAAGACATTCCTGGCACAATTCAAATTCCAGTAAAACACTCCTCTTAGGTTAATTTTATTAGTCATACCATGGCAGGACTTGATATTCTCTGCTTCATCACTGCCAACTTTATAACACAGAAACATTAATACTGAAGAAATCCTCAAGAGTGACTGCATTTGGCATCCTAATGAAGTTGCAGATGTACCACAGAACAGTACATTGCACTGAACGTGAAATCTTATTTGTGTTGAAGAAACACTCTCATAGAAAAGCATATTAAATGACTGACCCTGAAAAGACCAAGAGGTAAAACACAACTTCCTCTTACCACAGCAACAGAACTGCGAAAGCAAGCCTTACCCTGCATGACCTCAGCAGGCCTACTTCTATTTTTACCAGCTATGATACACACCTCAGATCCAGAAAGACACCTCCTTGTCACACAGATAATACAGCCTGAGGGCTGGATGGCGGATGGACAGCACTCACTAGGGGGAAGTTTCTATCTTCCCAATATGTAAAAAACATCAGGCAATATCATTTCCAAGCTACTTGCAAACACAGAAGGCCCTGAAGACAGTGCTATTCCTTACACAAATTTATCCTAGTTCCTCACTGGAGGGGCTGGGAATACCTAACAAAGTCACCAATTTTGACTCTGTCATTAAAAATACTTGAAAATACTTTGGCAACAGGAGAAGCTGATAAAAACAGGAAAAATACTGTTCCCATACAACTTCTGTGTTGACTCCAAAAATGGCCTGAACTCTAAGATGCCTGCAGCACACCACAGTGAAACAGTGAAACCTCCTGGTACCTCAGGCTCTCCAAAATGCTGTTAATCCACCTGTTCAGAAAGTCAATACACTCAGAGCAGCCACCAGTTGTCCTTGAAAGTAAAAGTCTTCGTGCTAATTAGATCACACGCTCACAGTTCCTTCTAGCCCACTTCTACACATCTTATTTCACTTCCCCAGAAATCACATTAATCCTTCAAGAAAGAAAGGAAACCAAGTCGCACACACTCCCTAAGTAAAAAATCCCTGCGTTTTTCACACCTACCGTCATTAATAACTCCAGAAGTGGACAGCATCACTGCTTTGCCCAGTCATGCACTGGGGGTGAAGGTTAAGGCCAGAAAATACCACTTCAACTATGAACAAGGCTTCACACTGCTGCATTCCGGTGATATTTGCAGGGCACCAAACAAACTGATTACTTCTTAATTAAACTACAAAAAACACAAAGACTGTGAGAGATTAAGAAAATTATAGCTAGGCATTCTAGAAATAAAGACTAATAGGTACAAATTCTGCAAAACCCTTTATGTGATATAAGCATAATTCTCTTAGAACTGCATATTTATAGCTTACCATACATTATCATACAGTGGAAAAGGTCAGAGAGCATTTACACGAGTTACAGAAGACATTGCTTTTGCTCTTTTTTAAACACTAGACCAAACAACTGAAATGCTGACATGGTTTAAATGCATAGGCCAAAAACATACTTTCATTACATTTCACATAATTAGAAAAGTCCAACTGCATAACAGAAGTCAGATTTACCAGCAGAAAAATCATTTGCTGGAGATTAACCCACTATCAATCCATTTCCATCTATATAAACTTTCTTGAAGTGACAAGTAAACATTAAAGTACGCAGAACATTAAATATATTTACAGGTTCAGTGCACTTAGATTTCTCAACAAGGTACTGAAACGGCAATAGAAAAGGGAAGGAGCTTCACTTTGACAATACAAACAGCATGACTTAAAAAAAGGAACCATCAGCACGTTAACATTGTTACGGTGATTTCACAAACATTTACCAAAACACAGCAAACAGTGCTTTATTTTCCTTTCCAACCAGTGCTTATTGGGTAAGAATCAACAGAACTAAAAGTTAAAACTTCCTTGTTAATATTCAATTTCATATTAACATTCATGAAAGAGAGAATCCTACCACAGACATCATTTACATAACTTCTGAGCCATCCGGACAATTTTCGTGTTCTTAAATAAAACCACAGGAAGATATATATAATTTTTATAGTATTAAAGATTTCATATATTGTCTAAATAAATTGAGAATGTTGGGTCTTCAAGGCTGCTAAGTTATTACTGGAAGAAGAGAAAACAACACAAACACATTCATCGTAAACACTGGACCAACTCAGAGCTCGTATGCCTTACTGCAGCTCCCAGGCACACACACAGTACAGCCACATCTGTCATATTGAAGCTATTCATAATTAGAAAATGTAAATGAAGTTTTCATCACATGAATTTTCTTGGACAGAGAATCTAGCCATATTAAATATAAGGTGTCTGAAAGGCACCTCCATGATCTCAGACTTGATCCACATGAAACATCTCAGATGTGGCTCAAACACTGGGGTGCTGCTGACCCCTAAGGAAAAGGAATGGGACTGAAACATAGACAAAGAACTGCAGACAGGAAGTCACTGAAGAGTCTTAGATCCCATCCCATGAGATGCTTTCAACACAATTTCACATTCCTGTCTCCTACCAAAATCCTACTAAGACGTTTCCGCTTACATACTTCAGTGCTAAGCCAAGATCATGGCAGGTGCATTACTCATTAAAACTCTCATTTTTAAAATATTTAATAGCTTTTGTTGCTACATAGGTTACTCTGTACAACCACCAATGTGGGACTCGTTGCCACCAGCAGTGTTTATAAAACAATTTTAGAAAAATTTAAGATAATCAAATGAACCTGGCAAGTGTTCAAGTCTGAGTGCATAAAAGAGATCCGTTTGCTTTAAAACCATATTTAGGTAATTGCTACGAAGAATGACTGTTGACACCTACAAAAGCTGCATAATGAAAGTAAGTACTTTCAGTCATTTAACAACAAAAGAAATTTACATTTCACTTGAACAGATAACAGTACTTTATGGATTATTTGGTAGTCACTGTACAGTCCTGAGCACGTTTTTGCAGGCATATTTTAGGTCATCATCCTTCCCTCTCAAGTCCAAGACTAGTGCCGGCTGGAAGAAAGTTGTGGTGACTTCTGAGAAGCAAACCTTAAATTCACTTTGGTAATTACCAGCATAACTCTATAAATCCTTCACTTCCTTTTTGCACCCCAAATAGATTAAGGCAGGTACTATTGTTATCAGGATTCTTCCATCACCTTTTGACACTGATAGAGCAAACCATCTGGAAGAGCAGAACAAGGTGATCTGAACCACAAAGCCAGCATCCCTGAGTGAGTACGACAGTGCAGCAGACATGGCACAGATGGAAGCAGCTGGCATGCCAGTATTCCCTCATTACCTTAAAATAACAGAAGCCACAGAATAAAAAGTCAAGTAACAATTAGATACAGCCATAGCATCATTCACAAACCTCTGATTTTTTTCCACCAACATTTATATCTTTTCCAGACCTCTTCAGTATGCTTACAAGTTTGCCCCCCTACAAAATGTACTGTTTGTTTCACAATTATACAGCAACCTTTGCACAGAGCTGAGTAAGGCCAATAAAATCCTTATACGTCCCTGTGTTTACCATGCTCCCAGATGTTCAGTTTTGAAGTGTAAGGTACCTGTTTCCATGTATTTATTTGTCTAGAAAAATAAGTCAGTAAACAATCTTACAGCATACCTTCACTCACCTATAATATCAACAATGTGGAGTTTCAGCTTTTGATGCAGTACACTCAGAGCTGCTGAGAAGGAATTCTGAGAGGATGGAATTTTAATATTCTGTTTCACATCATTGGAAAGAGACAACCACAGCTTCCCAAAGTCTTCTGTAGTCATTTCCATTGGCCTAAAGTTCACCACAGATCACAGTAAGAATAAATCTGGTGTCCTAAAAAAAGATTCTACATACAAAACTTTCTGAATAGAGCAAACATCAAACAAGTGCAGAGTAGTTTAAGTAAACCCCTGCTCTTCACAACCTATCATTAAAGCTTCTGTATCTTGCTTTGGGTTTCTAAATTAAAATACAGATTCTATTTATGCAAAAGATCTCCCTAGTTTTTTTGTTGTTTTTTTTTTTTTTTTTAAGCATGAAATTAACAAATTACTATTATTAGAAGTCCAATTACATTAAAACCAGTCAACTTAAGATGAAGCCTTGCGCTTTCATAACCAATACTTAAGACAATCCTTCACTGTCCAGTATTCAATTGAATATACACATCTTTAAAACTGCAGTTTTGCTTACCTGATGAAATCCAGCAATGATAAAGGTATTGAAAATTCAAGGCGAGTTTCCATTTCTGACTGGTAATTAACAAAACCAGAAATAACTCCCTGTGTACAGACTTTGTCCATGCACACACACCTCTGACAACATCCCATGCTCTGAGCTTCAATCACAGAAAACTGGCAGGCAGGGCTCTCCAGAATCTGCATCATTTTTCAAAAGAAACAGAATCTTAGTGTCACTGATTAGACTTGCATTCACTTTCAAACTAAAGGAAGTGAATTCAGAAGTGAAAAATTCATACGTATTTCTTACAGAGGCATGCAGCAGGAAATCAAGATAATAAGAGAAATGAGATGCAATATGTACATATCAACTCACATTTTAACTTCAGTACAGAGATTTGTCATTACCTTTTAGAAGCCTAATAGTCATATCACAGGCTTGAAGGAAATGCTTAGAGAAAAAAGAATGTCTACTACACTGAACTAAATATGACAAACTTAAATGCACGTGAAACAAAAACTTGCAAGTAAATCTGAAACATAATGGAAATTTTCTTACCTGAAAATGTTCTTCTTTTTCAAACACTACATTCACAGCCTTAAGTGCAGACGTGTTTTTATTTGAAACAAACACAACGAGCAGCAAAGAGTCAGCTTTCCACACCTTACATAAATACAGGGCTAAGGCATCACTCTGACAAAGTTCTGCTACTTCAGAGTGAGGGAGCTCTTCCAGTTCTTCTGCTAAGGAAGGGAGCAGCACAGTTTTATTGGCATTTTCACACTGAGAACTCGGAGAAGGCTGAAGAATTTCAATATTACTATCAGCAAACAAAGACAATGGGGACAGTCTACTATCTGAAAGCTTGTCATCCAGCCCATGCTTTTTTACAGACTGAAGTGTTTCTTCCACAGTATCTGAAGAACAAAGGGAAGGTTTCCTTAATGTTGTGCGTTTATCTCCATCACACTCTTCTTCAGTAACAGGGACAGTATCAAGTAAGGGACCAAAATCTGAGGCAGGCCTATTTTGCATATCCAATGCCTCCTCATTACTTTGGGTTTCATCTATCCTTGATTTTCTTTTGAACTTCTGAGTAGATAAATCCACTTTCCCCATCTGAAAAGAAAGAAGGAAAATTGAACATGGAAGGAGCTTCTACCAATAAGCTCTGTAAATGTTAACACCGAAACAGAAGGAACAAGGACAAGTAACAACCAACAAAATTAATCAAAGAACAGCTCTTAGGGAAGTGTAACAAACTGGTAACAAAACCTGAAGCACAGTAGGTAGGAAGAAGGAAGTTCTACTGAATGGAATCTACTCTTGAAATTGCTTGATCAATATCCAATCTGTTTCATGCTTAACAAATGATCAGACTACAATGGTAACTTCCAATAGTTTTCCAGTGTCTTGGTGTCATCTGTCTAGTTCTACCAAAATATGTTCATTTGATCTCCATTTCCACATAAGTATTTCTAATCGTAAATAAGGTTATATACAAACTTTTAACTGGCAAGTCACAGCAGAACCACTTACCAGGCTGACACCAGTGTTTGATCCCAGCCCAACAAACAGTGTTGATGCCAGCTGCTGCTTTTCTTTTTCTTCCTCAGAGAGGCTGGAAACTTGATCAGACTGTGACACGGGACATTCAGCCACCCGTCCTGCTAATAAGCTGCTACACGACACAGTCTGTGGCTCATCTTCTTTCCCTACTTTGCTTTCTTTTTTTGGAAGATAACCTTCTTTGCCCCAGAGCTTCCTTACTCCTTCCAGTTTCAGAGTATTTGTCCTAAAAGAGGGGAAAAAAACCAAACAGGATAAACTATGTGAACATCATGCTCACAAAAGCATGCCAACACTCTGCTTTAAACACCATTTGCCACTTTGGCACTTTAATTTACATAGTGAATAATGGAGTACAAGACAACGCTGTCCAATCTGTGGAAGTTCATGAAGAACATACTCCATTTTAGAAACAAATTAACTCACTCTTTATGCCCCATCTCAGCACTGTTACCAGACGTATCAGAACCAAACGATAAGCCAGTGGGAGACTGTCTGCCAGCCATACCAGCCGAGGACACGCTTGAAGCAAAGGACAATCCATAAGGCTCAAAATTCAGAGCTGCAATACAGACAACCTTTTAGAGTTACAGTAAAGGCTCAAACAAGTAGGAAGGAACTCTTTCTGAAAAATCAATATGCTGTATTACAACACTTCTGATGCTATGCTATTCAGTTTCATTTAGACATGAAAGATAAACAGTATAAATGATTTTATAGAGCATCACTAAAATATCTGCCAATTCTTAATATCTGCAGAGCAAAATACTGTATCAGATCTATGCTGTTCTGTTTGCTCATGCACCTACACAACACATTCTGAGTTCACAGCAACATGTCCATATACCACCATCTGCTTTACGAACATTCTTGACACTTTGGGCTATAAATTTATTTTCAACAAGACAGGCAAATCAGGATTCAGGCCACCCACCTTATCTATGGTTTCTGAAACAAGATGTAGTTTGAGTAACTACTAAAAATTGTTTTAGACAGTACTTTAACAAAAAGCAGTCATTGTTAGGCAAGAAGCAAAGCACAGACACTCCACTACAGCCGTGAAGCTATACAGGGTATAGCTCCTTTCTCTCACTTCCACTCAGTCTTATGCTTTCTTCTTCCTAAGAAGGAGGACAGAAGTGCTGGAGATCTGAGAAGAAAGAGGCCTCCTGATGCAGGAGGAGACAGAGCTAATAAAATGTCTGTTCCTTCTTGCTTTATTTTTTTTTATTATGGATGCTGTTTCTCAAAGACCCTGTGTCATATTCAGATTCAAACACAAACCACATAACAATCAGTTACCTAAAAAAAAAAAAAAAAAACCCAACTTCAAATTAATAAATTTCACTGGACTGTGAAATGGATGTTCTGTAGTCACCTTTTTCCTGAGAAAGTTTTTCCTCTTGTCTCTGGTGATGGGGCTTATATGGTGCTGCACCCCGCCCAAGTCCCTCAGCCACAAACTCATCCAGAAAAGATAAGGAAGCATCTACCTACAAAGAATTAAGGAAAATGAGAAAGTAACAAATACAATTTCTATTCAAAAGCCTGATATTATCAGAATATCTTATCAGCAAGATTAGGATCTTTTGTCTCACACGCCATATCTATCGGTAAGGCTGCTGTATTCCTCACATCCATTAAAATGGTTTTACATACAGAAACTGTTATTCAAGTATACTGAAACAAACTTTGAGCTACAGATTTGTAACTTAAATCGACTCCTCCAATATTAACTTTTTTATATAAACACAAAAAAGCAGAGTGGATGTTCCCTAAAGCAGTGGATTCTACAATTATATGAAATACCAAAGGAAAGAAACCTGAAGAATACCATCCATAGTTTTGTTAAAGCCACTTCAGCTTACTCGATACCATGGCACTTTATCATAAACATGGGGATGTGCCAAATCTGGAAAAGTGCTCCTCAAAACTCACTTCAAGCAGACTAAAGACTGGCACCAGTCAGAACTATCAAATAGAATTCATTCTGAAAATGTCTTTTAGCAAAATATTTAACTTCTCAGAACTACAGGAAGGTTCAAGAACACACACTGCAGACTTCTTACCACCATGTCATTACAACTAGCATCAAACGGAAGCAAGCCCCTCATCAATACTTTGTCTTCACACAGATGCTTCAATTCAAAGGTATGTTGTCTCATGCAGGTATCTAGAGAGCTACTGAATTCTTGGATTAACTTGTCAACTGTTTTAGAGAAAGAGGCACGCGATGCTATCTTGGTGACTGCAGCCATAATCCACGCTTTAGTTTCAGAGGTAACAAAAGTCTTCCTCAGTAAGTTGTGCAGCCTTGTCAAAATAATTTCTGGATCAACATCTGTAGCGAGGCTGGAATATTCCCCCAAAACCTATGCACAAGCAACAGAGAAAATACACACAGTCACACATAGCAGTGCTTTCAGTTTCCAAATTAGTGCATAGTATCAAATAGTAACAAAATTAAATGCATTCTGCAGACCATCACTGATGCTAAATAACTGTTGTGGTTTAACCTGAAGGCAGCTGAGCACCACACAGTCGTTTGCTCACTTCCCTTCCTCCCAGTGGGAAGAGAATTGGAAAGCAAAGCAGAACTTGTGGGTTGAGATGAAGTTATTTACTAAGATAGAGGAAAGGATAATCATTATGGCAAATACATGTACACACACAAAAAAAAATCACGTGTTGTAATTGCTCACCACCCTTCAGTAAGTGCCCAGCTGGCCCATCCAGCAGTGGAAGAGAACAAGAGATGGACTCCCAGCCCCTTCAGAATTCCTTCTGCATGATGTCATGCTGTATGGAATACCACTTTGCCCAGTTTAATTCAGCTGTCCCAATTCTGATCCCTCTCAGCTCCCCTGAGCCATTTGCTAAGAATGGCTTTGACTCTGTACAGCACTGCTTAGAAGCAGTTACAAACATCAGTTATCAACATTGTTTTCCTCCTAGCATCATACCAGAACACTGAAGAGAAGAATTCCTTCCAGCTGAAACTAAGATAGGTTCTCTTGAAAGGACCTTCTACACAAATAAAATGAAGAGATCCTGTATGAAGTAACATCTCTCTACTGGATTTGAGCTCCAGCTTTTTTAATTTTTTTCAGTTTAAAGCTGACCAATCAACTAATAACTGCTACAACAGTCAGCACCGCTGAGCTGGCTCCAACTGCTCCAAAATGCTGCTGGTTTAACCGATGCTGTATGAAGGTACTACAGGCAGTCGTGAATGTCAGAAAAATAATCTGAACATCCAACTGCATATCAAGAAGGCATTCCCAGCATTACTGATGGAAGACTGCTCTACCAAAACTACACAATTAAACTACTTCCAATGTGCTTCAACAAGACTTATTACTTTTTCCTGGCAAATGCTTGAAATGATCTTCTTGTTTGCCTTTGTAAATTCCAACTTAGCTTTAAAAAAAACAAAGAGCTGTCTGAAAAGAAAGCTACACATAGTAATTAAGGCCTTACAAAAGCACAATTTGCTTAAACCACAGCCTCTTCTTCAGATGGTAATCGCAGCTCAACTAGGTGCTAAGAAAGCAGCACAACCAGCACAGGGGCAGTTACCAGCAAGGCCAACATTGCATTTAATAACCATAACCGGCCTAACTGATAAAGATGGAAAAGCTTTCAGCACACAGGCAGGTCGATGCTGCTGCTAAACTCACAACTTCATATTCAATTTTGACCATGCATCCACCTTACCCAACTCATGACTTGAAGGAACTTCTGTGGATAGAACACATTTTCCTCTTCAAGTAATGCTAAATAGGACCGCACTGCATATGTTCGCAGCTGTTTATCTTCTTTTCCATCATCAAATCCTGGAAAGGAAAAAAACATACTTCACTTGTAACACAAATGCCACTTGCTGCATCAAAGAACATTTTCAGAAAGCCAGATGATTAAATAACGTTTAATTATTCACATCACGTGGTGAGTTACCTTCAGCCAAAAGCCTCAGAAAGTTGTTAGGGATATCAGGATACAAAACGTCGCCTCCAACTGAAAACACTGCATTCATGGTTTGGATGAACCACTCGTTGTTAGGAGCATACCTGTCCACACGTTAAGGAATGAAGTGCTAAGGCCTAACTTCACTTCTTTTTAGTTTGCTAATCACTACATTTTAAACTGTGAATGAATGAACAAATGGTAGTGTGAAAAAATGCTTTGATGAGGCTTCACACAACAGAAAGAGATCAGTTTACAAGACTTTGATCTGGAAATCTGCTTACAATACTTGGAGTTCACACTTGCTCCATGCTATCTATCTGGTGTATTCTTTTTAATCTGTTCATCCAGCCTCACTTAATGGATGATAGATCAGCTCTTTTCAGCAGTTCTGCAGCTGTTTTACTAAAGAATACCAACTGTTATTAAGCACTCAAGAGAAAGCAATGTTGTTTTCATATATATAAAATGTGAACAGCCTTTGCTCACTCTGGGGATTGAAAAACATTCGTTTCTGCCTTTCCTCAAATAAATCACAATGCACTTTACTGAATGGACACTTTCAACAGTACAGAAGAAAGAATACACACACTTCCTTGTTCGCATTTCAAAGAGCAAAAAGCACAACTGTAACACTTCGTATTTCAAAAGATTATGAAAGGTGCTTCAAAAGGTACCAAAAGGCATCCGAACAATAAAAGGATATTTCTCAGCTAGTTCTGCTATTTTGCCAGCTAAGGTGATGATAGCATACTCTTCCTTGGTCTCTTTTAAGTAGTCAAGCATCTTCTGAACAATGACAATCACATTATGTCCATTTGTAATTCTATAAAGAATTTCTAAAGTCTGAAAGAGAAAGCAAGATACATGTAATCAGCTCTACTGACTCAAAACAGCAATCAGGCAAATAGAAACACTTGAGGGTGATACCAGAGTGAGAGCAACTGTCTTGACTTAATGAGGCTTAATTGAAACATTCTGCTTATCTACAAAGTCTGTCACTATTGCTCATAACTGTGCTCTCTCAACACCTGAGATACTGTACGCCTTTCACACTCTCCATTTTAGAAAACTTACTACCCACTCTAAAAATAACTTAATTTGCACTGCTTAAAAATTCACTGACCTCCCTTTTAATAATGGGATCAGGATGGTCCAGACACTCAATAATTGTCATTTGGTGCTCAAGTGCCAGATTAGGATCCTGCTGAATAACACAGGTCAGAGCCTTTAAACCTAGAATACAAGCAATTGGAAATTACCTAAGAGTATGCACCAATACAACAAAATTAAAAAGTCTTTAATGAAATCCAGTATCCTTACCTAAGTATTTCAAATTAATTTGGGGTGACAAAACAAATTTTCCAATGCACTTGGCAGCCTTCTCAAGTAACTCAGATTTGGGGTAAATTGTATAAATTGTTTGGACACACTCAAACAAGATGGCTAGGAGAAAAGAAACATAATAAGTGGGTATTAAATAATTATATTATGCAAAATTAAACAAGCACACAAGTATACGTGCTAGTATGATAAAACTGAGACTGAACAATGTTCAGTTAATATTTTAAAGCAGTCTTATACCCTGCTAATGAAGCATCTACTTCTAAAGAGCCGAGTATCTCTATTTCGGCTTTCAAGCAGATATTTTGTATACAAAAACATTTCCTTTTTGCAAACAAATGATATCCTCAAGGTATTCAATTCAATTGAAACTTGGAAATACACAGCTACCACTGTGATAAAGCTTTAATTACACAGCCTAGCAGAACTCCTCCTTTTGTTACCATCCACTATCGTGGGAAAAATGTGAAAGAACAAACTATGATTATTCTGGTTCGGGTGGTTTAAAACACAGTACAGATAAATACTGCCACAGAAGTGCACTACAGCAGGGAATGAGACAATTTGTCACAGCTCAACATCAAAACGAATGAACTGAGAACAAGATAAAATAGAAAAGTACATGGGGACCAGCTCTGTTGCAAGTTGACTTCATTTTTTGTTGCTGTTCCTGTCTAACAGAAGCAATTAAACTGAATAAACTGAACATCTGGCAGAGACTTCCTCATGTACTACTGAAAGTTAGTGCCTCTCTCTAACTTCCCTTTTCAGTGGGAGAGGAACTTACACAATGTTTTAGAAAGCAGAAGCAGGCATTACACCAGATCTAGAGCTCTGGACCATGTTCCTTTTCAAAGGAAAAAAACACTGAAAACAAACCTAAATTCCCCCTCTGTTCCATTAGCACAGGTTATTTGGCAACATCCATGTGTCTTTAAAAGATAAAATAACAGGGTGGCTATGTCCTTAACATACTGTGAAACAGCTCTTAGGGCACCAGGAAATCAGACGTGGCTGCTTGGGGAAACACTGCTGTACAGAAATATATCACTTGTTTCACCATTTACTAGTCAGACACCTAAGAACACAGCTAGATTTTCAGAAGTGCTGCATATACATTTTCACATGCAGAAAATGCTCACCCACTCAGCCTTCCCAAATACTGATAAAGACTCTCACCTACCATAGGTAATATTATGATTTATCTCTGCTCTTCTTAGAGACTCCTCCAAAACATCATACATCAGCTCACTTGTCCTGTTTAACAACAAATATGTACAATTCTTATTTACAGCATGTAGTCTAAATTTCCAAGCAATCTACATAACAATATCAAAAAAACCTAACACAAATTATTCATACCCACAGATTCAATTTAACATGCTAGAGTTCAACAGTCCATCTCTAAATGACATCTAAATGTTTATGGCTTTCAGAAGAAACAACTGCCATAAGCATAAAAGCATCTAAGCAGGAAAAAACACCAACTTAGGTACTCCTTTATGTGGCTTTTCACCATGTCGTTTGGTAACCCAGTAACAGAAACTCCAGCAAAAACATATTTCAGGCATATTCCATAATTCCATTAATTGCCTAGACCATTCAGAAGCTGAGAACCTAATTTTTCAATTTAGAAGGTACCTGCTCAGTGTATTGGTTGATAATAAAAATGTATAAGAAGTCCAACTCTAAAATCCTCTTATGAAAAAGGCAGAAAAGCTGTTCATGAGATAACAGTCACAGCTGCATCCTTTGCACTTTCAGAATACTAATTACAGACAAAGAGCTGATTACCTTGGATCATCTTTTCCTAACAGCCCCAGTATTCTTAAAAGCTGAATTTGTAACCATGGTGCTGGCACGCTGTGATAATTGAAGTCAATAGGGAGCTTCCCTCCCACTACCTGCTTTAGGATGATTACAAAGCTCTCTGTCAAGTCTTTATACCCAGACGAGCTTTCCTGCATAAAAGAAACACAACAGAAATACTTTAAATACAGCACCTCAAAAGCACGATCTACAGACTGAATGCAGTTAAAGTAGCCACCACTTCATTTCTTTAAATCCAACTTCTACACTCTTCCCACAGCATCTCTTCCTTAAACCTACGCTGGTTTCTTGCACATTTGCAACAAAGAGTGCATGTAACTTCAAAGCAACGGGAAAAAATCATACTGAATTCTTTAATGTTCTGTAGAAGATAAACTTTGCTGCCAGCTAAGGATGCCAGTGATACTGAAATACCTGGATATGCAAGAAGCGTCTGTCAAGCTAAATGGAGAGCTAGTGCAAACATAACACATCCATCATCACTAAGTTAACTCTTCTAACAATTAGGAGTAATACTTTGCTACACAGCTACAGTACACTAATGCTTAAAATAAAAGATACAAGTAGCTCCGAGAGACGACTCTTGCCTACCTTAATCATTTCGAGATAAATATGCAACGAAGCAGCCATGACTCCAACATCTCTGTCACATAAGGCTTTCCGGAACTTATCATGAATATGCTGTACTTGGTTAGGAGCAATGAGATAGAATTTGTATAAAGCCTGAACAGCTTTTCTTCGGATAATTTCCCTGAAGAAAAAAGAGATTTTTACAAACCAAGACGTTGTGTATTTCAGGAACCTGACTCAGAAAAATAGAAAACTTGTTCTCATTTCTACAGCAAAGTAAAATTACAGGATCAGCCATCAGAACAGCGTGACATAGGGAGAGAGGGGAATCCATGTTTTATAGTTTTGTGACCGAATGACTCTGTGAATACCACCTCAGTGAAGAAGTGACACAGCTAACTGAAGAATTGAGTGGTGTCTACTGTCAGATTGACAATTCTCCAAAGCAGCCACTCGATAAAGCTGTGAAATTTACAACTACAAATCCCCTGTGGTCACACGTGCAGCTCCAAAGTCTAGGAGTTACTGAGTGACTGCTGTTTCTTACAGCTCTCTAATTAGTACAACGCTTAGAATGTTCCATCTTCTGGGTATGGGGAATGAAAAATAACTCAAATAAAGGTTTTGGAACTCTTCAGATACTCTTTTACCAAGAAAGCTTCAATAAAGAGTTTCATAGAAAAGAAGCAACACTGAAGTTCTACAAGAATCCCCATCTGATTCTCCATAGACTCTACAAACACGTCTTCATCGACATATTCACTAAAAGGAGTCCAGTAGACAAGTTAAATTACATTGAGCTACTCAAAGCAGTTATAAAACAAATGACTTGTCCAGTACTCTGCAAAGAGTACAAACAAATGAGATAAGAATACAAGAGAGAAATGGAGAGGAACCACTTCTGAAAGTAATGACTAAAAAGGTCAAATTAGAGAAAAAAAAACATCAGTTCACAAAAACCTCCTACAAAATTAAGTCATTCAACCTTACAAGGCCACATGCAATTCTGTAAACATATACGTACTTAGAATGCTGGAGTTTGTCTTCTATCAAGGGAAGAACAGCTGGAATCATCTCCCGTGGAAAGATCTGGCTGACAATGGTTAACGCCATGCTCACCTCTACTAGATTAGTGCTCTGTAAGTCCTATTGTAATCATTGAAATAAGACCATCATTTTTCATGTAGACTTCAGTTCTGCACAGACACCCCCCCCTTTTGCCAGCAGGCTGGATCTAGCCCACCACAGCAAGCAACCTGCTGGTAATCAGCCTGTTGTCTATTTGTGTTTGAGAAATGTCAGCTCTCACTGAGCTAACCAAGCTCTTCTTTCATACACAAATCAGGAGCTGCTCACACTCACCTTATGAAGCTACATTCAGATTTTAAATGTATATGATTTCAACAGACTACAATCAACATTTGCTTGCTGAAACAGTCCGATCATTACAAAACTAAACCAAGCTCCCACCTGAATCAGTGAGATGAGTCACACTTCATACTGAAGTCAACAGTATTCTGTCCATTGCCTTTCATCTAGCTCAAAGAATTTAAAAGCCCAATTATATTGGCAGTTACATATTTTTACACCAACTTATTACCTACGCCTCAGAAGAGAATGCCAATTCAGTCTGTCCCCAATACAGCTAAAACCAGAAGGTACAGCTCATTGTAACCTAACACCAAAAAAAACACCCACACCATACAAACACAGAGTCATGAAATAAGATCAGAACCCTTTTTCAAAACAAAGCACACACATTTCAGACGTCCAGCTCACAGCATTGTTCATTTGGGCTGTTTGCCACAGATATTTCTGGTGCTTGTTTTGGTTTAGCTCCTTGTAGACTCTCATTTCTCACTTCCACCCACAACACCAGTTTCAAACTATATTTTTAAGATTATAAAAGTTTTCTACCACAACAGTAGAATAAGCACCATTTTCAGTCTACAGTTGAGCTTACTGCAACACAAAAGTAATCCTTACATAAAAAGTCAGAACTGATAACTGAGAGGCAGCACTGTAACAAAAGTATGAACCATCACTTTGTGACGGATTCTCAGTGTCACAAAGCATATTTCCAGTTTCTATCAAAAGAACTCTAAGAGAACTCAAAGAAGCTAACAGATACCTGCTGTCAGCTAAAAGCAAACTTTTACACTGAAATATGCACGCATAGTTCCTTCTGAAGTTTACAATATATACAAGCAGTATATCTTGTAAATGGATTTTTTATGGTGTATCACCTGTTTACAATTTAAAAAATATGGCTTCAGCAAAAGAGGCACTGAAATTAAACAAAAAAAGCTAGGGGAAAGCCACTTCAAATTCTAATACAACCAAAGAAACAGGAACTTTAAGAGCTTGAGATGTAACTCGTGAGTACGCAGCTCAGATATTGCATGAAATAAATTAGGAAAAAGTGGTCCAAGGTTAGATTGCCTCCAAACCTTCAAAAACACTGTACCTTCACAACTGTGTTCACAAGCAGAAGTAGCAGTTCATGATTTTCATGGAGAAATAAAGAAACTGCCAAGTAACCTATAAAAGAAGAAAGCAGCCTCTGTTACTACTCAATAAGTAAGTAACTTCAAGATAGAAAACTGAATCTTGTCTGTAACACAAGATGAGTTAATTCAAACAATTTAAAAAAAACAACAAAGCCATTGCTGGATGACAGCAGCTCATGTTTGCTTGGAAATAAAAGAAAGTCCTGATGTTTGAAACATTTTTAAGTTGCAATAAAGCTTAATAAATAATAGCCAAGAAACCACACCCTGTGAGAAATACAATGCTGTTAAGAGATAAAGAGCAGCCAAGAAATTCAGGAGAAAGCAATTCCTGGAAAGTGAATGTCTTCTCTGTTGATAAAATCACATTCCTACACTGCAAATGCACTTACATTTGTTTCTCTTTCTTCAAAAATTAGAGTTTCAAATGTAATACTCAGCGTTGAATATAAAATTATTTTCCTTCCCTATGCTAAAACTCCCTCATTACTTAACAATACAGAAGAAAAACTTCAAACTCCACATAAGAAACATGCCAGAAACCTTTTCTTCAGAAAAATAAATCCTTCTTCATTTTAAACTACAGGAGTAAAAGCAGAGGCTTGAGGAGCATGCCACTACTCAGAAATACAGTGCAACTATTTGTCTCAGGGATGGATCTTGTTCAGGGCTTGATTCATTTAGAACTTAAAGATCAAAATGAGCAACTTAGGCCAAACTGCACCGTCTGGACTATCAGATACCTGAATCTATCTGATCAAGTGTAGTTTCACAAGCAGGTCAGCACCCCTGTAGAAATTTATTCAGGCTAATACAGGGAAAGAGAGTAATGTATCTTGATTGAATCAGCTGACAACGATTCTTCAATAAAGACTTTGGCATATGGCAACAAGAACAGGTAAGAGCAACCTCATGTATCACATTTAACTGCAGGATAAAATAAACAACCAACCGAATTCAAACAAAGGATATCAAACAAGCATATCTCACAAAACACTGCCTTCCTTCTGTGTATGCTGACATAGCATTGCTTGGAGTGCATTTTCTCTGCAAACAAGAAGAAATCTAGGTAGCTAGCAGCTGAATCAGCAACTGCAAGAAAATTCTCCAGCAAGACAGGCTGACTGCTACTTCAAACAACATCTGATGGAAGAAGTTCTATAGCTAAACTGGCAGGGCAAGGAAACAAGTCCCAGGAAGTTTCAAAGAAATGAGAAATAGCCTTTCAGATTTCCTCATGAACTTGTGCAGCTACATTCTAAGGATCTCCCAGCTTGACTCATTTCCTACAGCTGTTTCTAAACCAAAGAATACCATCCTCAGACAATAAACAGACAATAAAAACAGACAATAAAACACCTTACTGCCATTAGCAAAGAGGCCCCAAGCTCCTTAGAAAAACTAAAGTTATCTGTAACTGAAATGCTGGGCAGGCAGTACCACATTTGTGGAAATTGTGCCATTCACAGCTTCCCTCTTATTTTCCATTAGAATTCTTAAAAAAAACAAAAGGCAGACCCTGAGAAAAACTCATATTTAGTTTGAAGTTGGTTTTTAACCATCGTTGCGGTAAATGACTTGTTTATTACTGCTGCAACTCAAAATACTGAAAGAACTGATGCCTGAAAGTTATTTCTCTTGCCTCCTCCTCTCCAAACTCACAAACCAGGCATTTAGTTACTTTCAGAAAGAGGACAGACTATGAAACAAGGCAACAAAGCCAAAAGAATACTTTAAATAAGTTGTTTTTCTACATGAATTACAAATTCTTCTAAGAAATCTTAACAACATGATTTGAAAATATTAAGGCTACAGCCATGTACACATACCAACTCTTTTCTCCAAAAGATTCCCTTGCTGTGCAAGCTTGATTGCATGGATATATCCAAAGGAAGACTCATATCCCAGCATTTCACAATAGATGAGCCTCACCATACATTCTTTCATCAGTCTCTAAAAGAACAAAAATAAATTATTGAAGATCTTCAGTCTTGCTTCATACTTTGCTGCTCTAACAATGTTCAAGCCATCAACAGGAACATACAAACATTTCTGTAAGTTCCTTAACACCAGATTATTTCTCATTTTTCCATTAAGAATGCATTTATGTGACTCAACATTGATTTCTGAGCACAACAGCAGAATTCTCCAGATAACTCCCTCAAAGATGTTATCTAGTTTTGACTGCCATCCACATAACAAACACCAAATTAGTTACTGAGTTATCTGAAGCGTTAGACAATCTCACTAACACATTTTTTAACCAGTCACTACATCAACTTATTATTATACTTGAGGCAAAAGAACAAAATCACAGTGCCCTAAATGTTCAACCACAGTGCAAACCCACTGACAGCGGCCCTATCTCATGTCAACAACTGAGCAGCTATGCAGTAAAAAACTGTCACTCCACTGGGCAATAAGAGGAGGCTGGGGAAACAGCGGGACAAAAGCAACCACCGGCACAACTTACAAGCGGGGTCGTGGGGGCAGAAACCATTGCTTTCAAACTGGTTATTTCCTGCTGGATTAATTTTTCTTCCTCCTAGAAAAAAAGAATTAAACTTGCCTTAATTCTGTGTAATCTTTTGAGACAAGATACGATTTAAAAAAATAAAGTCAAAGGACGCATATTCACATATTAGGACTCAACTGTCTCAAAAACAGCGCGTATCTGATTCACGGCAGTAACGCTACACAACGCGTTTCAGCCTCAACTCTTATCGCCCACTTTCCCGCTCCCACACACCGTGCCCCACGCAACAGCACGACGCCGGGCACTCGCTGCACCGAGTCACCAGCGGTTCCGCAGCCCCGGGCTCAGGGCACCGCCCGCCCCTCTCCCTGAGGCGCCCCCGGGGCGGTCTGGCGGGAGGGAGGCGAACAGCGCGACCCCCCGCCTCACCTCAGCGGCCCGCGGCGCTTCGGGCTCTCAGAGAGAGACAGAGGCCCAGCCCGCAGACCCCGGGAGGAGCAAGAGGCCCGTACATGCTTGGAGGTGAGCGCCGTGACGTTCCGGATAAGGCTCCCGAGCCGAGAGGAAGCCGACGGCCTGTGGGGGCCGCCCGCACCCCCCGGCCCCGCGCCCGGCTCGTGCTGCCCCAGCAGCGCAGGCAGCGCGCCCAGCGTGCGCTCCACAACGTCGCTCATGGCAGCGCCGCTGCGGCCCCCGAGCCCCCAACCGGAAGCGAAGGGCGCGGCCCCGCCCACCTCAGTGCGCATTTCCGGGGCGCCCGCAGTGGGACACCACCGCCGGCCGACAGGGGACGCTGCGCCGGCCGCTGAGGCGGGATGGGACGTGGAAATCAGTAGCGTGGAAGCGGTGCGAGCTGCGGTCTGCTGTTGTGTCAGTGCCTCCTAAAGCGGGCGGGGAAACTACTGGAGTTGTCTTTCTCGCAAGTAAAAACGGTTTCGCTATTCCCAAAACACGTCTGGTCAGACAGTCACGCTGAAGTGAGAAGCCATACGATGGTTTCATGCCAGAAAAAAGCCAGACGGGAACAAACAGAGCTCCGCACGTGTGAAGATAGTGGAAGCTGGCATTTCCACGAGGCGAAGTTGAAATGCTGGCATTTTGTAAAGCTTTTCTCCTGTAAGCAGTGCGGTGGCTGAGGATATCCCTTCCCACCCAAAACCTTCTATTCATAGTGCAGACATCGTGCAAAATACATGACTTACTGTTAGAAGTTACAGATTTTCCTGATGCCTTGCAGAAAAATCACCGGCAGCTCTTTTCCATTTTTTTTTTCTTTTAGGCAATAGAGTCCTTGGAACATCATTTGCTATAATATGAGATAAAGCAGAGAAAGCACATCCACTGAAGCATGGAAATATTACCATGTTGGCAAGGTGGGCTGGCGGTGATTGTTGGCTTTTTCTTCTTTCATCTCCTTTCTGTTTTCATCAGCTAGATGGAAAGCCTTGAAGTGTGGTTATAAAACAACAGTAAAAATAGCACTGAGCAGCTGCATTTCAGCTATTTCTCAAGGCTCTGTATCAACTGTGTTCACCACAATAAAAACATTCTAATTGCCATTCCTTGTAATTTCTCCTTGGCATCTGATAGGCAAGTAGTATTCTTTCTGGCTCATGAATCATTACTGGAAATAAATAGATCTAGAGTAGAGAATGAGCTGGTTCCGCTTGAGCCAAAATAGAATCCAAAAAATAGAAGAGCTTACGTGCTTCACTGGATTTTCTCTGCACTGTGGAGTGTGTAACAGTACGTGATGTAAATGCCAAATAAAAACAGAGATGTAGCGAGAGTTAAAGACAGCACTTTTAACTTGTCATTTTTCTATGATGATTAAATGCATTTTTCTTGTAATTAGCAGCGATCATTTGCTGTCCCATGCCATAGAAGCTCACCAAGGCACTAGCAAGGAGTCAAATATGCAAATGTAGAGCATGGCATTGCAGATGCACTCAGTGTTTGCGTGTCTGCGTGCACCTCTATGCACCATCTGTGTTGCCTGGCTGAAGCAGAAATGATTAGTGAGTGTCTCAAGTCTTAGGCTTGGCTTTGATGAAGGCGGGTTTGGAATTCCTTTCTCTACCCCACTGTCACTCTCAGCTGCTGCGGAGTTCTGCACTGGTTCTTGTTAGAGAGGCTCAGTGAAGCAGAAGGTGATTTAGCTCTAGGGAAATAGACATTGTAGAATTGGGAGATAACATTAAAAAAAAATTCTACATTATAGAAATAGAAACATTTATCTCATAAACAGAAGTGGATAATGTAAAACATGCATTGAGATGCATTTGGACATATCACTATAGACAAAAAGCCAAATGTAGACATATGACACAAATAGGTATATTTTTAACCAACGAGTTTTTTGCAGTATTATCATCAACTAGAGTTCCTTTTCTGACTTCATGTATTTACAGCTATCTTGATTGCTGTGTATTTGAAGTACATTTACTGCTTTGGTATTGCGTGGTGACGTTTCTCTGAATGACTAAAGGTCTATGGTCCTATAAATGGATGTGTATTTTCAATGTGTGGTGGGAAATGTTGGAAGTGGGATAGAAATAAATGTCAGAAAGAGTAAACGAAGAGAAAGTACTTTTTTTTTTTTTTTTTTTTTTTTTTTTTAACTCTTGAGACCATCTGATAGGCAATGAGCTATTGAATTAATACAAAGCTGAGATAGAAAGTCAAACCACATTAAAGTGAGAAATGATGTTTTCATTTTTCAGTTATTCAGGATTTCTGCTGATGTGTATAAACATGATTAAGATGGCAGAGTAAGAAGACACTACTTTCTTCTGGATTCTGCTTGTTTTCTGTGCTCCTAAAAGGAAGAAAAATAATCTGTTTAATGTAATAATTTTCCCTGTAAGTTGTCAGGCAATGTCTAGATTAGGCTTTTTTACATTATTTTTATATACAACCATGCTTGAAATGTTTTTATCTAAAATTCCCTATAATTTCTAACTCTGGAACAGCTTCACAGATAGAAGCTATATTATAGTTGAGGATTGAAAGTTACTTTCTTTCCTCTATTGCTCATCAATTTAATGAAGCAATCCTGACATAACCTAGAGCATCAGATCTTGCCGGTATTTAATGTAAATATGGAAAGACAGGAGTATTAAGTATAGTGGTTGCTAGCAGGAAAAGAAAGAAATTGCAATGTTTTCTAGTTGTTGTTGTTTTTCTTTTTTTTTCTTTTGTACAACTACTGGTGATTCTCCTAACCGTTGTTTTTCCCAGCTTATACTATAATAATATCATAAGAGACTGAATGGTCTTGGATTCCAGTTATATGTGCACTGATCCCCTTCATGTCTTCACATAGCCAGTTTTAGCTATTTTTTTAGCAGTCACTGCACTAAGTACTGTGGTACTCCGAGATTCCTCAGTTAAAATGTTTTCAGCTGACCCCTTTATGACTACAAAGTGAAAAGATCTTTTTTAAAGGAAGACTGCCGTTGTTTATCTTCCATGCTGGAAGCAGATCCTGCGGTTCTGAAAAGCACCGCTGTGATCCTTTGTTCTTCTGTAAAATGGGAAAATGTCTTCCCCAGGTCTCTGGGGATTTGCTGCTCCTCTGTGCCTCAGAGGGATACATTTTCATTTATGGAAATGTTCAAAATTAGCTTATGTGCTTATTGCCATCTGTTTTTTTAATTTTAAATTTGACAGAATTTATGTGCTACATTTAAACTTCTGATGTTGTCTTTGCAGTGAAGATTCATTGATGGCTGTGCGTTTTCTCTGCCGCTGAGCCCATGGAAAGGGTTGGTATGTATGTGATTCCTTGGCCTTCAGCACAGGACCAGGTTTCCCTTTCATGCTTTGCAGCTCAGCATTTCCCGTTTGACACATCAAAACCTCCCCATCTCTGTGGCCCAGCTGATCGGGTTTGCCGGTGGCCTGTTCCGAAGCCTTCAACTGTTCAAAAGGTGGGCAGGGCAGGCCACCCCACCCCACCCCACCCCATCCCATTCTCTGGCTCGCGTACCCCGGTGTTCGGCATGCCGCCCCACTCGGAGGCCTCCAACCCCGCGCCGGCAGCGGGCAGGGGCAGCCAGTGACTGCGGCTGCCGCCCCCCAAGCGCGTTGCAGGCCGCGCATGCTCCGCCGGCGCAGCCCTCCCCCGTCTCCTCCCCCGGCCGGGCGGGCTGCGGGGCGGCCTCCTCCATTTCCGCGGGCGCGGGGCGAGGAGAAAGCGGGGCCGAGTTCTGCCGGAGCGGCTCCTGCGGCTTCAGCACCGCGGCGCTGGACAGCGCCCGGAGAGCGGCGGCTCCGCGGCGCTGAGCGGCGGCCGGGGCAGGGCGGTGCGGTGCGGTGCGGTGCTGTGCGGTGCGGTGCGGGCGGGACCCCAGCCGGGCTGGCCCCGGGGCTGGGCGGCTGCAGGATGCTCCTCAAGCTGGCGGTCACGCTGCAGGTGCTGTCGCTGTTGGCGAGCCGGGCGCACGGCTTCCCGAAGCCCGCGGGCAGAGGTAAGCCTCTTTGCGAACCCGTTGTCTCCGAGATGAGGAAAGTTTTGCGGGGTATCGGTGGAGGAAAGCAGAAACTTTCCCCTCGCCTGTCTAAAAGCGGTTAGATCCTAAGGAATATCTTTGGAGGCGCAAAGCAGTGTGTCGCTGGAGTTGCGGTGTGATACCGAAGCGGAGAGAGAGGTGGAGCGGCGTGGAGTTGAGGCGCTCTGCTCGCGGCGGTGCCCAGCTCTCGCTCGCCGTCCTCCCGACGCTCTGGATTATCAGATTTCTAAGGTCTTGCTTGTGCCAATCCGATTATTGCTATTTTAGTCAATCTCTTACTGCGTTCCTCCCCCAATTTCCTTATGTTTTCTCATCAGAAGGGGGTTACTGTGTTTCTGTTACCTCATTTTCAGAACCTCTCCCTCTGCTCCAATCAATCATGCTTTCTTTAAATGTTTGACTTTTATCATTCTTGCTCTCCAAGACATTTTTACGAGAACTTGCAGTTGGCATCGTATTTAACATACCAGGTTTCTTGTGAGAAAAGTAGAAAATCAAGAAAAACTGTGCTGCCTCCCTGTATTCATGTGCATCATGTAACTGAATATACTTGTTTATTCTAGATAAAGCTATGCACAACAGGCAATTAAGTGTAGAAAGACCTTTGGAGGAACAGGTATGTAATATTAAAAATATTCTAATTGTTTTCTGTTGTTTGTATTCTCATAACCTTTTGAGCACTCAGATGAAATATGCATGAATATCCTGCTGGCTTAGCAAATGACAAACAAGTAGATTCATCAGTAAATACTGCTGTATTTTAGGTACAAATGAGATTTTCAATAATTTTTGAGAATTTTAAGAAATAATAATATATACACATATACATATATATATAAAGCAGGTCGTCAGCTCCAACAGCTCACATGTGAGGAACTCCCTTGTGTTCAAATGCTAGGGGAGCACACTCAGAGCTTGGGTTAAAAATGGAAAACATGACTGGTATTTGCCCTAAAGTTGAAAGTCTGTGCAGTCTCTTGCATTATCTGATTCTAGTCAGGGGCTGTGTTGGTACTGCTAAGAAATGCCGAGAGCTTAAATGTGTACAATGCATTAAGCCAAATTCATAGTAAGAATGAAGATCAGGCATTAAGGCTTGGGCTGCTATTGATAAAGTAAGATATCATACATTTTAGTCTATTTTACTCCTTCTGCCTGCT